CGCACTAAGGATGACCATGCTGGCAGAGCGGGCGAGGAGCTAGCACCTGGTGTCACGGGACAGGATCTTTGGGGCAGGTCCACTGAGTACTAACGTATAGCCAAGAGCATCTGTCTGGAACCGTGGGCAGACCATCAGCTGTTCTCAGCGTTTGAACCAATGGTGTTCCATACAGAGCGGTCAGCCAGAGCCACAGAATCGAGTCAGCAGAAGGGGCCCCCACGGTTGGTCTCACTTTTGTATTCTAGGAGCTGGTATATTTTACTGTTTTTAAAAATATAAATCTGCCTCCTAGCTCCAGGCCAGAATCTCCTCAGCTGTCAGCCTAATTTCGCAAACTTCCTAGAGAGGAAGGATTCTTTCTAGTTGGAGAGAAGCTAAATCAATGTTTAGTACAGGATGTGAACAGGGGGTGGGGTGGGCAGAGAAAAGGGAGAGGGGAAGAAAATCAGGACTGGCTCTCTATAGAGAAAGGTTTGGGGAAAATTCTGGAGCAACTTTGAAGTAGCTTCAGGCTGAGATGTAAGTGGTCCGGAGAACCCCTTCTGAAAGTTACTCCAACTGTCTTGGCATAAATACTTTAAAAAAACACAAAATAGGTCACTAGGAATAAATCTATAAAGCAATGAGTATGGTGATTATACTATTTAAAGTCAAAACCAGGATATTTGACAAGCTAATTGGACAGTATAATTGGAACTGAGCCTGCCCACCCCTTCCAGATGAGAGGTGCCAGGCTGGCGTGCATGAACCCTAAATGCTCAGCCGTGAAGCAAGAGGTCGACCAGATGTTTCCTGATTCCTGGTCCTGTTTCCGGATCATGAGTGGTGGTGATGTTGGGAGAATAGGAGAGGTTAGTAAGAGAACAGAGGGTCTGTCCCTCTGACTTCTCCTCAGCTCACCCTCCAGGATCACCGTACACACCGTGTTCTTAAATTTAGGTCAATTTAGAGCAAAGTGACATAGATGAGCCACAGACGAGACAGAGGGGGAAAGGCCACTGCTGGGACATTCCACTCAACTTTTAACTTTAGGACAAGACTTTTGGTTTACACTGGAATCTATAGTTTTGCCTGTTTGGAGCGTGTGTGTGTGTGTGTGTGTACGTATATTTTTTTTGAGTCTTCCTGTTCATACTAAATATCACACTGGAAGAGGAAGCAGCTCTAGAACAAAACCTCATAGTCAGAAAGTATTTTGTCCACCATTTATTTTATTATTTATTCATTTGTTGGCCACACTGTGTGACCTGTGGGATCTTAGTTCCCCCACGAGGGATTGAACCTGCGCCCTCAGGAGTGAAAGCGCGGAGTCCCAACCACTGGACCGCCAGGGAATTCCGTCATTGTCTTTAATGTCATTTTTCTTGAAACTGATTTTCTTCGATAAATCAAAAGAATATAAGCCAGGTAACAGAGAACAGAGTGGAAATACCTTGCTCCTTTAGAAGTTACAAGTTTTTAGTGTACAAACAGTTATTGCTGTTATGACATATCTCCTGAATAGTTTCTTACTGTACATTTTCTGAAAGTTCACTTTGTTAATATTTCCAGCTACACAAAGGCTGTAATGGCTACATCTGCCCAATCTTGGATGGCTGCCTGACACCAGAGCAAAACTTGACATCTCACTTCTGCCAGACAGAAGGAAACTTATAAACCTGTCGTTCTTTGGACATGTCCTATTGACACAGCTCATTGGAAAAATCTGCTTTTAAAAAAGTCATAACTAAATTTCACAGCATGTAATTTATTCTCATTTCACCACAGCCCCGCTGAGTGGCTACTTTTCCTGTCTGCAGAATGGGTTGGAATTTAATACTGGGAACTAGTCAAATTGAATCATTTGGGTAATGAAAGTCCAACTACGAAGACTGCAGTTTCCTTTTGGGGAGCACTACTTTCTTGTCAAAATTTTTTTTTTTTTTTTGCGGTATGCGGGCCTCTCACTGCTGTGGCCTCTCCCGTTGAGGAGCACAGGCTCCGGACGCGCAGGCTCAGCGGCCATGGCTCACGGGCCCAGCCGCTCCGCGGCATGTGGGATCCTCCTGGACCGGGGCACAAACCTGTGTCCCCTGCATTGGCAGGCAGACTCTCAACCACTGCACCACCAGGGAAGCCCTGTTGTCAAAATTTGAATGTGCATATGAATGAATGGTTCTCTTCAATTTACTTCAGTTTTATGTTGTGTCGGCTGTAAGTAAATACAGATAAACACCTTGTTCTGTGAACACAAAAACAGCCTAAAATGGCATTGGGATGTAGGAAAGAAGAGAAAAAGACAAGTTTGGGCCAGGGTGCCTGGCCCTCCAGGGAAGGGCAGGGGGTGCGCTATGTACTGGGTCTTTTCCCCTGTGGTCTGCACTTTAGTCTGAGAGCTGAGGGTGTGGTCATCTGGGCGGCCTTCAGGGAGGGTCAGCGTCTGGGAAGACGGTGTCGGTCCCACGGGCAGCAACACAGAGTCCTTCGTTTGAGGGAAGCATTTTGTCACCATGTGCGTGAACGGAAGTCAGGCCCAGCGTTGCACAGTTCCTGCTTGCTACACAAGCATTCTAAAAGCTCACTTCATTCTAAGGGGAATTCTGCTAAATCACAGAACTAGTCATTTCCTTCTTTCTTAATGCGCTTGACTGAAGTGCACCAAAGAAAGGAAGAAAAAATAACCCACCCTTGGATGCTGTAAACCTGCCAAGGAGAATAGATCCCATTTCAAAATCTTCCTATGATGCTGGTCTGAAAGTTTCTCCTGAGACAGAAATAAGGCAAACGTAACAATCCCTTTGATATCAAGTCCAAAAGCACTGGAGTTAGAATGTAGTTAAAATAAAGAGGTCCTTGGTTTCAGAAATCTTTAATACCCTGGGGAGACTAGGGTGTGACTACTTCTTGTTCTCTTTTACAATCAGCCCATGTCTGCAAACCAGATTGACCGTTGCCGGTCAAGAGGTCATAGTTCAACAGAAACAGTCCAAAAAGTGGGCTTGACAACTTAACTAATGGGTCCACAGATGATGAGACCCGCCCCCATCCCCAAATCTGTGAGAACAGACATCGCCAATGCCTTATTAGTACATTGTTGGGAAATTAAAAAAAAAACAACACCACCACCGTGACACAAAAGTATCAGTGAAGAAGACAAGGTAACACCTAGAGGAATGAAGTTGTTCAGAAGATCCCAATTTATCTTTGCCTAGAAACATGGCACACGTCATCAGGAGATACTCATCCTGGTCCCAAAAACATTTTTCTACGGCCAGCCTAGGTTTCTGGAGAGAATAAGCTCTCTGTAGGAAAAAACAGAAAACTAAAACTCACTGACATTTTCTGTGGCTCAAAGTTCTAGTGAGAAGTATGTTAAAGTACAGACCATGTGTAAGTCATCCTAAGTTGCCTCAAAACCGATGATTACATCCACGTAAGAGCATGTGTGCCTACAAGGCTGCACAAAGTTGAAAATGTGATGGAGGAAACTCAGTTACTGGAGACCAACCTTGTGACACCCTGGGGCACCTGGAGGTCTGTTCCCAGAAAAGCAGGCGGAGACACAACCCTGAAGCAGAGAAGCAACTTCTAATGAAAACTGCCGAAGTGCTTAAAGTTCTCAAAGATGGTCTCTGGTCAACTCTGATTGGTGGACACCATGAAAGGTCATTGAAAAAAATATGCCTTTTTATTCACTTAGGGCACTTACTGCCTGCCAGTAATTCAACGTTGAGAGGCACGGGCAAAACAATGTAAAAATGAAAAAAAAAAGACACACAGAGTAGGAGGGGAGGGATGAGGCCAGGTCTGGTATTCGTTGAAAGCTGAGGAAGTGCTGGACGGGCTACTTCCCAGCAGCTGTGCAAGGCAGGGGAAACGAGACCACGAGACCACGCGCACCCGTGAAGGGATGCACCGGGAAAGCTTTCCAACTGTTGGACCCTGGCTGTTTCTTGTCTTTTCTAATAAGCATTTGGGCTTCTCTAAGTAGCCCCTGAGGAACGAGGGGGTGGAGGTGTGTGGTGCAGGCCTGGCCTCACCTGAAACACAGGACAGCTGCAGACCGTTTCCTGAGTCTCAATATTCAGAGCTAAGTCTCACCGTTTAACAGATAGCAATTTTCTTTCTTTTTTCTTTTTTTTTTTGCGGTATGCGGGCCTCTCACTGTTGTGGCCTCTCCCGTTATGGAGCACGGGCTCCGGACGTGCAGGCTCAGCGGCCATGGCTCACGGGCCCAGCCACTCCGCGGCACGTGGGATCCTCCCGGACCGGGGCACGACCCCGTGTCCCCTGCATCGGCAGGCGGACTCTCAACCACTGCGCCACCAGGGAAGCCCCAGATAGGAATTTTAAAGCATTTTTTCCTAAACAGTGTCTTACAGAGTAGAATCCATAGAAAATTTTAAGAAAAGACATAAAACCAGAGAAATCCTATTTTGCTACGCAGGCTGCTCTGAGCTTGACCCCAGAACCCTGGAGATCCAAGGGACTCATTCAGAGCTATGACCTGGCTCCTTGCCCCGCATATGCCGAGGAGCCGGCAGATGCGGGAGCCATCGGCCTGGCCTGGGAGTCCAGAGCTGCACCGGGGGCTGTGGGAGAAATAGAATTGGGGGAGGGGCGGCAGTAGCAGCCAGCGGAGGAGACTCCTTCATCCCCCAGCCCTCCTCACAGGCATCTGCAGTGAGGTCCTGACTAGCAGTGGCATCCAAGAAGGACTTTTTTTTTTTTTTTTTTTTGCGGTACACGGGCCTCTCACTGTTGTGGCCTCTTCCGTTGCGGAGCACAGGCTCCGGACGCGCAGGCTCAGCGGCCATGGCTCGCGGGCCCAGCCGCTCCGGGGCATGTGGGATCCTCCCGGACCGGGGCACGAACCCGTGTCCCCTGCATCGGCAGGCGGACTCTCAACCACTGCGCCACCAGGGAAGCCCCCAAGAAGGACATTTTAGCTAGACTTATAAACTTATTTTCTGGGGGGGGAAAAAAAAAAAGCACTCAAATTAACTAGACTGTAAGAGTTCCTCAAAAGCTTTTATTCTTTTTTTTTTTTTTGACCAGCACACTGCCGGGTACACACTGCCAAGGAGGCATTCAAAAAAAAAAAAAAAAACAACGTTTTTTCTTAAACAGGCAATTTATAACACTGGGAAGACTTCATTTCAGTGTTTCAGAAAACATGATTATTCCTGGAAAGAGTTTATTCCTCTACGACTCTGGAGAACAGAGGCTTTGTCCTAATTTTTATAAGCCACCTCAGACAGACAGTGGAATAATCTGGATTAACATTTAAGTGTTTGGAAGGCAGTTAAAAACTCTCAAGAAATCCAAGAGTTGTCCGCCTGGGGCAGTGTTGCAGTACTCGGAGGACACAGAAAATGTCTGTGTCCCTCCTTGACCTGGGACCTGCAGGACAGCTCCCCTGCTTGATTCCTACAAGTCTTCCTGCAGAAGGCAGATCAACAGAGAGGGACGGTGAACTTCTCCGACCGGCCCAGGCCTCATGCAGCAGCATGGCCCAACCAGTCCCAGTGGTTTAGCTACCCAGCACATCACCCTGGAAGTGCTTCCGACATCTGTCCCACCAAACAGACTAACAGAGAACCAGAGTCAGGCATTCAGGGCTGTCATCAAAGGAGTCACCTCCCTTCTTCCACATAATGACCTGGGATTCTATGTGCAGTAGACATGAACAGAGTTTTTACAAATTAAATAACTTTCTTAGAATACAATAAAACATCATTACATACAATTCTCTTTGGAAAGTCTTTCCCATTCTCAAAATTAACTTACAAAATTTTGTGCAAAAACACTGGCTTCAAATAAATAGGGAAAAAAAGTGGGAAGAGCAGAACTTTTTGTATTGTTTTTGTTTTTTAAATTAAAAGTTAAAAAACACCAGCTGCACTTCAAAGTTCTTGCAGGACGCGTCAAGAAGGCTGTGAAAAACAGCCCTCCTGGTCAGAACTGCATTTTCAAGTGAGGTTTTCTGGGTTCAAAATTCACAATGGATGCCTCCGCTGAGATCCCTCACCACGCCCTCTCTGACCAGCTTCAGGAGGAACCCGGTCTCTGTGGTCACATTGTGCATGGTCTGAAAGTTCATGGCAGCCATACAGAGATTGTCAAAGTAGTGCAAAGGTGTTCTGGGTTGGCTGAGGTCATAGCCAAAGCCTGCCAAACTGACTTCATCGCACAGATGCGTGGCTAAGACAACGGCAATGACACCAATCGTGGGGACGTTCTGTAAAGGAGAAAAGACAAAAAAAAAAAAAAGGTCTTAGCACAAGTCGCTGCTTTACAGGTAGGCTACATGCCATGCAAAGTGATGAAGTGGCACTGGGGGCTGCAATTTTATACATCACACAATTTCAAATATCACCCAATTCTAAAGTCTGACTTGCCATCCAGGTCAGGAATCTAGACTCTAAATCATGGTCTGTGATGTGAATTCTTTTAACACACAAGCAAGAGGCAGCCTGGCAGGTCCTGCTGCACCAAGCTAAAAGGTGTTCTTTCTAAAACTTCCACCCACCGGTCCTGCACAGAATGACCATATAGCAAGACTAACCCATTTCCTCTCTCATGCGACAAACGTCTACAAGGTCTGCCCTGGGACAAGTGGCCACAGCCCTTCTCCGGACATGGTTTGGGAACCCGTCCCGTCCTGGCTGGCTCCTGTACAGCCTCTGCCTGAGAACAGAGCGGGCTCAGCTCTCGTTGGTGAAGACTGTCTTCACCCCTTACTTGTGAAGACAGTCTTACTTCACCCCTACTTGCCCTTCTGGCAAATAACACCCCCAGGCCATTTTCACACGTCCTGCAGCTCAGCCAGTTTCTGCTGGCTCTCTGTTCAGGCAAGTACATTTTTCGCCTCAAATTACAGGCTTTCACATTTGTTTTTTCCAAAATGTACCCTTGCTGACTTTGGCCTAGAATGCCAGATGTCCAGAATTTTGGATTCTGACTGTATCACCACTCCCTCTTCACGTCCAACATCTTGCCACTTGTAAATCTGGAATTGGTTCTCGGGATCTCCCTCACAGACTTGGGTAAAGACAGCACACGGGGCGGCAGACAGGAATACGGAAAGCCCTGCAGTGCCTAAGCCCTCCTTGGAGACTGCTGCCCATCTAGTACTCGATATTCTCTTGTATCGTCTTTCATGTGCAAATATACCTCCTTGGTTCATCTCAGCCGAGCCTGTGACTTCTATAACCAGCTCTCCTTTTCTGTAAACTGGAACAACAGTGAACCTTTCACAGTTCAGAGATTAAGGTGGGAATAGCGAACATCCAGGGAACCCATCATTTGATAAAAACTGCTTCCTGCTCCCCAGTGTGTCCCGTCTACCTCTCAAAGCCAACCTCCCTTATTAAAAAGGAACTCAACAGTCATTTTACATGTTTGGAAATAAAAACCAAGGGAAATTGACCCTAAAGAAGCCAGCCTCCTGTTTGGGCTTAGGACTCTAAGGCAGTGTGTCCTGTCTTCTCCACCTGCGGCCAGCTCGGCACACAGCACCTTAGGAGTACCCATCAGTGTCTGTGGAGGAGTATATAGGGGTAAGGCATGGAGAGAAACTCAGAAACTATCAAAAGCTCCCCAGAGCACGTTATCTCCAGAACACGTCCCCCAAGGGCAGCCCTCACTGTCCAACAGGCTTCTCTGTCTGCTGGGAGGGCAGAGGCATGAGGGAGTTTCTGACGATGCAATCTTAGATCAGAAGCCATCTTCCAAGTTACTGTTTTTATCCAAAAGAAGAATACCATTTTGACAATGATAAAAAATAAGCAAATATTCAATTCAAATGATAAATTATAAAGTAGAATGTAAAAGACTCCTATAGACTCACTCTCCAGAGAAGGGCATTCTTCACAGTTTGGTCATTCTTTCCAAGCTTTTTCCTATGCAACTATATATACATTTTTAGTTTTTAAACAAAAACGGGATTAAATAAATGTTCTGTAACTTGATTTTCTTGCTTAATACATTGTGGAGGTGTTTTCATATCCATTAGTTTTTCTTCATCCTCGACAGTCACACGATATTGCATCGACTATACCATAACGTTTAAACAATTCTCTAATGATGAATGTTTAGGCTGTTTTTAGTCCTTTGCTATCAATGCTACGATGAACATCCTAGAATAGTCTTGCAGATTTTCTCTAATTTCCTTCTAATAAAATTTTTAGAGTCAAATTGCGGGGTCAAAGACTATTCATATATATATATATTTTTTGCAGCACGCGGGCCTCTCACTGTTGTGGCCTCTCCCGTTGCGGAGCACAGGCTCCGGACGCGCAGGCTCAGCGGCCATGGCTCACGGGCCCAGCCGCTCCGCGGCATGTGGGATCCTCCCGGACCGGGGCACAAACCCGTGTCCCCTGCATCGGCAGGCGGACTCTCAACCACTGCGCCACCAGGGAAGCCCAAGACTATTCATATTTTAAAGTGATATATGTATTGCCAAACCACCCTCCGGAAAAAGTGCCAACTTATAATTCTACCTACATTCCTGCCAAACAAGGACATTATCAAGCTTTTAAATCTCTGCTAAGAAAACAGGCAAAAAATGTCACTGTGGCTCTAATTCGCTTTTACTTGATTACTGGTGAAGATGAACATTTTATCATGTATTCCTGGGCTGTACTAATTTCTTCTGTGAAATGTCTGTTCATATACTTTCCTCATTTCTTTATTGGCTCATCTTTTTCTTTTTGATTTAATAAAATCTCTAAATGCTTTGAGAATATTTACTCTGTGATTTCTATGATAAATTTTCCCCCACTAACTTTGTTTCTGATACCCTTCGCCATTCAGCAATTTCGTATTTCACGTAATTAAATCTGTCCATTTTTTTTTTTTTTTTGCGGCACGCGGGCCCCTCACTGTTGGGGGCCTCTCCCGTCCGGACGCGCAGGCTCAGCGGCCATGGCCCACGGGCCCAGCCGCTCCGCGGCACGTGGAATCCTCCCGGACCGGGGCACGAACCCGCGTCCCCCGCACCGGCAGGCGGACGCCCAACCACTGCGCCACCAGGGGAGCCCAAATCTGTCCATTTTTTAAAGGTTATTTTTAAAATAAAATCGACCTGCAAACCAACAAATTAGCATCTGCCTGTGTTTAAAAAAAAATACTATGGAATCTAATAAAGAAACGGGGCAGTTTAAAAGATACAGAAATCTAAGTGCACTTATAGTGAAACCTCTTTATAACTTAGTTTAAGAATCTTGCCAAAGTATGTTGTCTTTTTTATAAAATTGTTTTGTTAAAAGTGATGCCAACAGGTTAAAAGTTGTAAGCCCACATTCCGGAGGAACCCATGTGCTCTGTGTGGGAGAGCCCAGCTAAAGCCAATCAGAGACCCGACAGTCACTGGTCGGGGGTAGGGCTGCTCTCCTATGAGAGGGAAAACACATCACGGGTTCTGGACACGTTCCTGCAATGGGCAGAAACTACATGGCCCTCCTGGGCTCCCCATGGATGGAGAGGCCAGAGCCCTGGAGGAAAACGGCAGACTGCGAAGGGAACAGCTTCCACTATGTGAACCATTTCACCCGAGCTGGGTGTTCAAGCCTGAAGTTGGAGCCAGAGTTGGATTTAGCTCTTACTGATCGCAGTGAAGAACTAGGTTTTTGTTTTTAAGGAGACTATTCAGGTATTTGTTTTCCTTAACAAGCACAGGATTCTTCCTTTAAAATTTACACAGTTGTGTTAAAGCATCTTTTTAATTAGAATTTGATTCAAAGGGCAAATAGAAGACCCTGCTCATCTGCCTATTGGATGAGGACCCCTGAGTCTAGCTCCATTTGCAAACTGCACCCTGGACCAGCCCCATTTCCTAGGAGGTATCTCAGGCCCCCAGTGTGGGTAGCAGTCCCCATGTTTCAAAATTCCTTGCTTTTCCTTAAATATAAATGTTTTGCTTAAACCATTTCCACTGCTTTTAAAAAAGTTTTATTTAAAGACACAGGTTTAGCTATTCAGATCATGAAGAAACAGGTAATAAAGGCATCTCTGCCCAGTAGCAACACAGGCTAATTGCAGGTAAAGAATCTACTGCAGTGAACAGCCTATAGCACCAAGGTTCTCAAAGCAGGCTGAAAAATAAAAATCACCCAGGGAACTCTGAAAATCCCAACGTACAGACCACAACACAGACAGATTAAATCAGAACGTCTGATGGGGTGGGATCCAGGCATCAACTGAAAAGCACTGCTCTCACCTATAAAGTGATGATAAACGTCAGTTTTCACCCAAGTGGCCTGTAGAGTTAAAATGTAAAGAACTTTCTGACCACCGAAGTTCCTTGCAGTGTCCTGCAGCTAATTATATGGAGTTCTGGAGTAAGAATACCTTAAATAATATCTCAGTGACCGAAGTGCTAACGTGCTGACTGTCCTAGTCAGATGAGCCACCAGGAGTGGGGGGATTAATCAGTGGGGAGCCCTGAGGTGAAGATGTAGAGAGGGAAAAACACATGGAACATCTAATCAAGGACTAGGTTTCATCCCTGGAAGATGCTTCTGGGTATACAGCTGAGCCTAACTGAAAGCTGTATAGGTGCCTCCTTTCCAACACAGAGAAGAACAGTTAAGTTTCAGTAGCGACAAAAATACCTTATCTCGGCCCCAGAACCTTGACTGAGGCTCTGAGTATCGAAGGATGTCAAAGGCAGTCTCTTTGATAATAACCGGATTCAAAATCCTGAACTGTTTTGGCTGGAGTGGGATTTTTTCCGCCACCTGCTTCCAAAAGAAGAGTCGCACCCAAAACGGCTAAGGAAAGAAAGCAAGCGATCGTTAGGGGGATTTAATCAAGTGATCTTATCAGTGAAGCGGGCAGAGCGCATCCCCTGCTAATGAGGCCAGAACCGTGGGTGTGGCCCCTTGTGGGTTTGTAGGCTGCATTCTGTGGCCAAGTCACAGATCTATGCAAATCCAGTACCTCAACTCAGGCAAGCAACTCTAAGGATCTGATCTATGAAGGTGGCACTGGACAAGGAAAGGAACTGCAGGAGCAGCTCTTACTGATTTGGGGAAGAAATTCTTCAGGTAATGACCTGAGAGAGTCAGCCTTTTTAGGATCCAAAGCCACCATTTTGCCCAGGGAAAACCAAGCAAACAGATCCAATTCGAGGGTATGAAGTGCTCTGGGTGCCCCGCCTGTGCTCAGGTCCCCACCACGCACCCCCTTCTCCACTTACTCCACTTCCTAGTCCTGTGATGTCTCTTGGTAACTGACTGTAAGTCATTTCGTATGTGCTTCATCTTTCAACTAGAACAACTACCCAAGAGAAAATCCAGAGGACCACAGTAACCTGTACGGAATCGAGCTTTGGAGATACAAATTCTCCAGCACGTGAAGCTTCTGTGAAAAGTCTGATATGTCCTGTTAACTTTACAGTCAGCTGGTTTGCGCAAGTGCATATAAACGCACACACACTGCTTAACAGCTGACCTCTGGAATTCATTTCAACATAATGTGGGGGACTGGGGGACTATAAAGTAAGGTGATAGATTATTGTAAAGACAAAGAAAAGGAATATGACCAAGTTGGGGCCATCTCCTCCACATCTGCCCCTCTGGAACGCCGTGAATTGACTCCAGCAAGAACACCACCAGGGGCTTCCCCGGTGGCGCACTGCATAAGACGCCGCGCTCCCCATGCAGGGGGCCCGGGTTCAATCCCTGGTCAGGGAACTAGGTCCCACAGGCGTGCCGCAACTAAGAGTTTGCATGCCGCAACTAAGGAGCCCGCCTGCCACAACTAACACCCAGCGCGGCCAAATAAATAAACATTAAAAAAAGAAAAAAAAAAAAGAACACCACCAAAGCATTTTTGGAAAATCTCTTTGAAAATACTCTTCGGAGAATTTATGTATATGCTTCTGAATTGCCTCAATAATGGTTTATATTCATGCACATAAAACTAATTTCTGAAAATAGTCAGAAGCCATGTAAATTCATGTCTGGTGAATGAAGGTGGGTGGCCAACCTCAATGATAGCCATTTTGGTCCCAAGCTTGTTATTTCCACTAAGTAATGATCCCAGTTTCCACATGGGACTCAGTCAAGTTCTGAAAGCAGTTTCCAGGGGAAGTTCTGAGGGGCTTCTACAAAGGGAGTGTTTATTTGAAAGCATGTGTGTTAGTTTAAAAATAAAAACCTGTTAATTCCAATCAGAGGCCCCTTCGCTTTTTACGGAGGCATATCTGATGGCTGAATTTCTAGTGCTTACCAGGGTTTCATTTTTGACCATCGCCTGAAGCCAGTTGAAGTCAACACTCTTAAATAAAACAGCAACAAACAAGTCATTGGAATAATATTCGAGGTCAGACAGTGGTGCACCCTCCGGATAAGTCATCCTTATAGTAGTTTTATTTCCAACATGCTCTGAATATCCTTCAACCGGTGCACTGTTTAACCTATTTAAGTAAAAAGGACAAAGATAAACTGACATTAACCACTTTAACACATGCCAAATTCCTGCAGCGTGTTTTCCACATTTTTTTAGGACTGGGAACGAGGGTGTGGTTGGGGGGTAGGGCACCCCTCCCAGCAGCCCTGTCATCCCTCAGCTCTGCCCTTTCCAGGTGCTTGATCAACGCAGTCTTCAGTCTGCAAGAGACTTCTGTATCCAATTTCTGAATGACAAGCAATTCCATCTAGTCCTGCCACTTTAAGCCAACCCAAACACATTACACTCTGGGCACTAGCAATGTTTCCTTGAAAGCTTCCCATTGTGCTTAGATATTAGTGGTTCTTGCCAGAATTTCAAAAAGGGAATCAAAAAAGAAAACCTAAAAACCGGGGAAAGGCAGACACAAACCATAGTTATACATAGACAGGGTTGGGCCCGAGGAGGGCACTGGGTCCAAGTGCAACCTGGTCTTACATTAAAGCAGGAATTTGGGGCACTCAGAACTGTTAGATCAATGAAGGCTTTGCCGGGGTGGATGCTCTGGGGAAAATGCTAAGAATTCTTCCCAAAGCAGTACCACTCACACAGGTACACAGTTTTGAAATCTCAAAAAAAGTCTGTTTGGTTCTTTCCCTGTATTATCACACCTGTACAAACCTTTCTTTTCTATTCCACCGTCACTTCCTCTTCCAGATCTCAGATACCTAACTCCTGGATTATTAAAAGCTATTATTAGGGCTTCCCTGGTGGCGCAGTGGTTGAGGGTCCGCCTGCCGATGCAGGGGACACGGGTTAGTGCCCCGGTCTGGGAGGATCCCACGTGCCGCGGAGCTGCTGGGCCCGTG